CTAAATCCTAGGAGTGTCTACAACGTGACCTACATCCAGTTAATTAAAGTGTACACTAAATATAATATTCAATCTATTAGCTATTTGACAATTTGAGAGTGTGCAGAGCATTGAATTTCTGGCCGAAAACCTGCAGAGTATAATAATAAGATAATTATACAAATAGAGCATAAATGCTAAGGTATATTTCACATCCCTTCATCCCAAGAATCATACACTGTATGTAACTTGGATGAATCAAAAGGCAACAAAAATTGTCCCTTTATTTTATTGTTGCTATTGTTATTTATTATTTGCTGACTTTCTTGAGTCACATAACGCAATTCACAGCTAAGATGACATGGTAGGGAAAATGTTTGCCATCCTTTCAGTTCTCTTTGTTCTTGTGATGTCATTGTCTGCTTGCTGAATATATAATCTTGTCGCCAACCATTTCAACAACAGATCTTGTTCTCTGAGGGCCTGGGCATATACGCCAGGGATCCAAAATTTGTAAGCTTTGCCAAGCGGGAGATTGCCGAAGCGTGTCACATGAGTCTGGACGAAATGGAGAGCGCCGCTGCTGACCTGATCGCGAGAGGAGCCAGTCATCTATCGCGGTTTGAGGAGGAACTAGCAGACGAAATGAACTGCGTGATTTCTTACTGAGATCAGCAAAGCCAAATCACAGTAAGGACGATAAGTCATCAGCCAATATTTTATAAGTGTGTTTATTTTTCAGTCATATATATATATATATATATATATATATATATATATATATATATATATATATATATATATATATATATATATATATATATATATGAATATGAATAGTTGTTTTTTTTTCATACATCCTGCTGTATTTGAAACAGTTTTGTTTGTGAATGCCAAAACATGCATACTTCCTGAGTGACAGAGCATTCATGAGTATGTAGCAGGACTCCAGCTGATGCGGCTCAGGACGATTTTATATTGGAGCCGGCTCAGTATAAGGCAAACTTTGGCTTTTAAGTCATTATATCATAGTGTCGTTTTTTTTCTCATTGTTTTTTTTCTATTTACACTATTGGAGCTTTCATCACTGTAAGCTCAGCTGCATTCATCCCAGATAATCTGCTGAACTGTTACATGTAAAACCATAATACATCACAGAATGCATTAGCTGTTTCAGAGAAATATTTGATTAAACTGAATATCCTCTACGATGCAGCATCCATACTCCTGTAAAAAAATGTCTAATGTTTATTTTTTGATTACTGTGACTGTTCATTCAGATTGTTTTACCGGCTGGGTAAATAAAACATGTTTTTTCAAACAACTTTTCATTTATTTATTTTTTTCAATGCGAGTGTGAAGTTTTTATACACGTGGTACACTTCCCTACAAAGGCTCTTTTTTTTTTGTACAAAGGTTTTTTGTTAAAACAGCCACAGTGAAATATAATCAGTGAATTATGTAGTAGAAATGAATGCACCAGCAGATGGACGACATCTGGGTTTCACTTCCACCTTCAAAGAGATGAAGCATGCAAAACAATAAGCTGCTTATGTCTCTTGCAGACTATTGTTCTACGCTCATAGGGCTTCATCTTACGTTTGTCTAATTTCCCTAACTGAACTAAGTTTATATGTTACTTTTTTAGTCATTTTAGCATAGCCACATTTACTTCATCACATATGTTTTTGTATCTGATATAAACTACCAAAGAAAAAATCAAAAAGATAAACCAGCTATGTGCAGATCTACTGTTCTCTACCTAAAATATGGCTTTTTTCTTTCGTTTTCTTATGATGTCAGACATGAAATTAGTATGTCGGATGAACTTTCTTAAAATACATCATCAGGTGGGACTTTTCTTTTTCTAACTTCACTGGTAATTTAATCAGAATCCCGCAACGCCATGACATCATTTCTTGTTTAAAGGCAGAGTTATTAATTGAAACTTCAAACAATGAAAAATGTATGAAAACTTCTCTAAAATATTCTCTTTTAGCAAAGATAAATATGTTTAATAATTCTAAATGACCTGAACTGGCAAAACTTAGTCCGATTTAATCTCGCATAGTGGTTAACTCTATTTTTAAAAGTGTTCATGAATATCTGTTTTTAAATGGTATGTATTTTGCAGGAAAATCTGACATCTCCTCAAAGAATGTTTGCAAAACATTAAAGACGCATGGACAAATTCCTACATTATCATAATAATTTGCTCTTGGCATTGAATAAAGATTAAGGGGGGTGTTGTTTCTTTATCAAGCTGAAATAAGTTTAGTAAATGTTTTGTGTTTTGTCTTGTTCATATTTTGTATTAAAAAAAAGGTATCTAAAGCAAAAGCTCTGGGCAAGGCTTGCTTATTAATATTCACAGTGCTGTACATGAAAAAAAAGGTATAATAGGAATAGTATGTTGCTGTGGCATAAATGTATTAAAATAATTAATGAAAATATATCATTACAGAGACTAAAGATGAATAATTAAAATGATAACATGATTAAAACATATATGATAAAATTACTAATAAGAAAAAGAAAGGAATCTTAAACTTGAAATCTTACTTATAATCGCCACCTTAAACAAAACTGTTTAATTTCTTATTTAAAACAACTTAGTTTCAGGACTTTTACAGTTTTTCCTGGGAACAAATAAATTTACAAAAAGCTGTCAGCAGTTTTATTCAGGGCTGTATAATTGAACTTTTTAATTGTTAAACATTTCATGCAGATTTTGCTGCTTTGTAATAGCACACAGACACCTTTCCCTCTACACTGTTCCTTGTTTGTATTTATGGATGAACAGTCTCCATGCGCTCCTTTCTTCTTTACAAGGCCCTCCAGGCAGTCTGCTCTCCCTTAGAATAAAGCTGCACTGTGATTGGACAGACAGTGCCGCTCCTTTCCACTTTAAGCCCAGTTCCCCGTACTGACGTCAATACGCTTTGTGCCACGAGCAGGAGCAGGAGTGAGCAGAAGCTCACGGGCTCTGCGCCATCAAGGCTACCATGTTGTGGGTGGCATATTTGTTAAAGCAGCAAAAATCTATACGTCAATGCTGTTCAGATCTGTTTAGATCAGACTTTGTTACCGTGAGATTTTAACAGACAAACATTATTTCAGGTTTTACATGAAATAATAAACAAATAAATAAAAAAGATATGTGAGTGATTGATGAATGAAAAAAATATTAGCAACATTTTCGCTTGGTATAAAACCCTTTAATTTAACTGCATGGTTTCTGTGGGTTAGGATTATTCAATAACAAAGAAATTATTTATCTGCTTTTGATATATCTACTTGAGTTCCATCCTCTTATGATGAATATTCATTCTTATTAGATTTATATAAGAATATAGACACATAATACAGAATGAATTACTACTATTATTATTATTGTTAGTATTTACTAATTATACAAAAGAAAAATATACAATATAAGACAGTATGTTTTAGCTTCCAAACCAAGTGTGTTTTTAGAGTTAGAGGTTTATTTAAAAGATATGACTCAAAAGACATATGAACAATGAATAACTTGATTTAGCTTCAGAGGCAAACACATGGAACCCTACTTTTTCTCTACTTTGCTACTATTGTCATTAAAAACGTATAGATAGATAGATAGATAGATAGATAGATAGATAGATAGATAGATAGATAGATAGATAGATAGATAGATAGATAGATAGATAGATAGATAGATAGATAGATAGATAGATAGATAGATAGATAGATAGATAGATAGATAGATAGATAGATAGATAGATAGATAGATAGATAGATAGATAGATAGATAGATAGATAGATAGATAGATAGATAGATAGATAGATAGATAGATAGATAGATAGATAGATAGATAGATAGATAGATAGATAGATAGATAGATAGATAGATAGATAGATAGATAGATAGATAGATAGATAGATAGATAGATAGATAGATAGATAGATACCATGGACTCTCTTTATTGGTCCAATGTTTCAATTACAATAAACACAAGTAAATTACTACATATGCTCATATACAACAACCCAAAAGAGAAGAAAAACAAAAGACATAAGTCCACCACCTCAAAAACTGAGATTAAGCATTTCATTATTTACATGAAATAAAATATCTCCACCTTCCCAAATAGAAATAAACTCATTCCGATCTGACGCCATCCTATAATAAGCAAACTCTGTCCTCAGACGTGCCGCCACCAGGCCTCTGATCATCAGTTTAACATCTGCAGAACCTGCCTCCTTCATTTTATTTCTCCTGGTGAGCCAAATACTCATTTTTGCGCGACCAAACAGAAAATTAACCAGACAAATATTCCTCTGTTGAGCTTGTGATTATCTAGGACAAAATATATAAATAGTTCATTATTAAATCTGTGTCCTAAACCAGCCAACCACTGATAGATAGATAGATAGATAGATAGATAGATAGATAGATAGATAGATAGATAGATAGATAGATAGATAGATAGATAGATAGATAGATAGATAGATAGATAGATAGATAGATAGATAGATAGATAGATAGATAGATAGATAGATAGATAGATAGATAGATAGATAGACTTAAACTTAGACAGATTTAATTGTAATTTTGTTTACACAAGTGTAAAACAAAATAAATTTAATTTAGAACAGCTCTCTGGACTATTTCCTTTTGTGCAAGTGCAGCCTTGAAAATTAGTTTTAAAAAAATTGTATAAAAACAGTAATAGAAACATATGACTGTAAATTTACAGTGCTAACATTTTGATATATATAATGATAAAATATAATAAATATTATATAAAATATAATATAAGATAGATATAGATATTGATATATATAGTTAACATAAAATCAACTGGTCGTATTTAACTTAGATTACCTTTAACTTTAACAGTATGCATCAAAACCTCACTGTATATTATTGCAGTGGACTCCAGTGTAAACATACCACTCACAATATGGCGGACATACTGACGCGTGGTCTCCATAAAGCAGGGCGGCCAATGAGAATGCGGCGTCTATTCGCGTCTCTCCGTACGTCTGGGCTCGTGATGCAGCCAGGCTGTTCCCCGCCCTCCCTCCGTGCCGTTCCGAATGAGACGCATCCCTCCCTCCGCTGTTCTGATCCTCTTATCAACGAGTAAGCGGCCAAGATGGATGTTGCGAACCAGGTAAGGCTTTTGGAGAAGAACACATCATATCTGCATATTTCATTAATATTTGGCTGATATTTTCTCAGTGGAGTCAGGTGAAAGCAAAGGGGAATGGATTTTCATTTTTATTTTATTTATTTTTTTATCTAAAGATGTTCAGTCCCATTTATTCTAATGCTATGGCGTATACCGAATAGAGTTTGGATAAAAAAAAATATGTATTTAGACATGTATAGAATGAAAACATGCATGTTTGGCTGGACAATGCGGAATTGTAGATAGGATTAGACGTATTTGTGCTCGTGATGCTGCAGTCTGTCAGACTGAGCGGCCTGCTGTCAGGATGCTGCAGCGGCTGCAGCTGCAGGGACATTTATCCAAAGAAGGAGATGATTCTCACCGACCCCTCCATAGAGAGCCGGATAATTGATTCAGATTGCTCCTGTTTCAATTAGGCCGCTGTTGCCCAGATAACAATAGTGGAGTGTGATTAAATTACTGGTCAGTGCACAGGCCCAACTCAGAGGAGGAGGAGGAGGAGGAAGAGGAGGAGGAGGATCTCCCGCAGGTTTCTAACAGTCGAACGGTAGAAATAAATCCGTCCACCCAGCTGCCTGGATCATCTGAGAAAAACAACATTTTTTCCTCCTCACCTGTTTCATTTGGATGTTTACATCCAGGCTGATACAAACCGGACCAGCATCACTAGAGATAAAAAATAGAAAGAGATCCTGTTCGGCCATTAACTGATGCACACCTTCTGAATGCGCATCCATCCTGCGCTCTATTGCATCCTCCTTTCATCAATTAAACCCTATTTTCCTCATAAATAAACAGAACGGATGCTGCTGGGAAGAATGCAGCCAGAGAGGCAGAGAGAAACACAGTTAATCAGCTTTGTCTAATTGTAATGCTGGCAGCAGCTCTTTCTCTCTCTCTCTCCCTCTCTCTCTCTCTGCACACACAGTGCAGACTTTAAAGGCAATATCAGAATTACTCTACGCACGCCTTTCATAACCACAGAGATGCAATTGCTGTTTCAGCTGATGTGTGCTCTTGAAGAAGCATTCATTTTAGAAAAATACTCTGCACTTAGAGGAATAAAAAAAGAAAAATATAAAGAATCTGCATCTGATTATTGTGTGTTTGTTGTTATGTTGACAGCTGGTGGCCCAAGGGCAGTTCACAATACTTAAACAACCTCTGGGGTTCATTAAAGTTCTACAGTGGGTAAGTCGTTCTCATTATTGTTAACAATACACTAAAAAAAATGTTTTTCCCTATGGATAAATAATGCTTATCTCTAGAAATGCAGAAATGTGTGATTAGGTAGCTGGTCTCTGAGGCTCCTATTTTACCACGACTGCAACATTTATTTAAAATACAAACTCTGTTTTCTTTCCGATTAACACACTAAAATGTCTTTGCATGAGACAAATTATGTCAGAACAGAACAATCATATATTTAAAACATGCTCGTTAGTCCGGTCGGTTGGCAGACCTGCCTCCCCAGCAGCTGGTCATGCAGCTCCTCTTATATAACAGCTGTCTAGTGATATCTATGCATCACAAAAAAAACAAAAACAAAAAAAACAAACTGCCAACAATACAAAAATAGAAACACAATATGTATAATTTTTTTGGTAAAACATGCATTTAAAATAAATAACACCTGTCTTATGTATTTGATAGATATATATACTCTCATTTATCTTTCAATGTATCTGACTTTATAGGGTTGTGTGTGAGAGAGAGAGCATTCAGCATTTCTGCAATCAAACTGGGTTTTACAAAATACATTATTTCAAAGCAAAGACAAACTTATTACATCATTGATATTGTTGGAGCCTATTAAGAATTAGATTCATTTATTTTTTGCAAAATTATTTATGTAACAGATCTAAGGTTGTGTGAATGGTAGAGCTATTGTTTATTTGTTTACGTATTGGTTTTGCTTTGACCCTCCTCCTTGTCAGTCCGCCTCCTGCTGAGATTGACAAGTAGAAGCAGCTGATAAGGTGGATCTGATTGTTTGTTTGAAGGAGTGAGGAGTGCAACAGTTTTTTCACACACATCACTTAACTTTTATATTTGAGTTTTTTGTAAGTCAACTCTGAGAATATTTTTGTTATTTTTTTATAAGTAAAGAAAACACCTTTTTTTTTTTAAACAAGAAAATTCTCCACGAGTGCTTTTTGTTTTGTGAGTCTAAAAAACTCCTCCTAAGACTACTCTGGCAATTTTTGATTTTTTTGGGAAACTATTTTGATGCAAGAGTAGCTATAACAGATATTTTAAGCTGTCTAAAGGTTTACTCAACATTGCTTTTGGTGAACGTTTATAAATAAAGTTTTATTGCATTTCTAGTACAATAAAACCTCACGCTTTCTCTGAAAATTGCATAATTTAAAAAATTTCTGCCAGAGGTAAATGTTTTGAAAACATATCAGTCTCTGTTGTTCTACTCAGGGGGGGAAAAAAAGTTGTTTTTTTTTTTCTTTATGGGGAAATATGCATGTGCACAATGACTGTCGTCAGAAGAAATTAAATACAACGTAATTAAAAACATATGCATGTTGATTTTCAACAAAATCTTGCACACTAGTAGTGTGGAGGGTAAATTACACCCATATTAAAGCTCCAGTAGTGTCGTTTCTTTGGAGTTTTTAATCTTCATGTAGATGTGTTTATAGAAATGAATGAACAATCCTAAAGTTAGCAGTTAGCTTGATCTGCATTTCTGTATGTCAATTCACTGCTCATTAAGACCATTTTCAAAACACTGCCAATATTTCTAAATACATCACTTAATAAAACAGAAAAACTTTGCATTGCATTTATTTTCCACTGAATTGATATCCCTGATAAATGTTATTGTTATCACGGCCTGGTTGAAAAATATTTAGATTTTTAGCTTTAGATCACAGATCAGAAAAGGTTGAGGGTATATTGTCACAATTCAGGTCACCACCTCATTTCTTATAGTATCTCTACTATTTATAGGCGGGTTTGTAACACAGAGATAATGAAGCTGCATGATGCCTTAAGCTAAATTTTAGATGTGACTCTCTTTGCTTTCAAACTTCTCTTCTAAAGGCTGAGCGGAGGGTCTGTTGCACGGTGGTGCTTTGATGTTTCTGGCAGGAGACCCACCAGCAGGAATCTGTGTCACTGTTTCAGTAATACAGTCCCCGAACACTGAGGGATAGAATCACATTTAAAGCTCTCTGAAGACACGACTCCTGTGTTCATTTTGGTTTTTCAAATCCTTTAGGTTTGCTTAAATTATGTTACATATTATGATCTGATAAAAAGGAAAACATAAACTCCCTTGCAGCTTTGACATTTTCTGAAGCTCCAGCAATGGGAGGACTTGGTGTTCGGTCTTCATGGCAAACAGCTGTTAAAATGCCCACAGGGTGGTGTTAGTCTTCACTAGCGGTCTTACTGCTCTAGATTATAAAGGTGGTATCCACTGCAGCAGTAACTTATTGCTTTGTCGTCTGGACAGAAAGGTTTTAGCTGCTAACATCTCTGGACATAAATCTTGATATGCATGTTTATAGGCTTTATTTATGAAGGGGATAATATATGCAAAATGCAGTGATGAAGTTATTTCCTTTTGATTTTGACCTAAACCAGTTGGAAAATATGCTGCCCAAGCTTATCCAAGCACAACACATTCTGTGCCTCCTTACTAGGTCAACTTGTTTAGCATGGCTGCTGTTTCATATTTAGCTGTTCATTATATATATATATATATATATATATATATATATATATATATATATATATATATATATATATATATATATATATATATATATATATATATATATATATATATATATATATATATATATATATATATATATATATATATGAATTCTATTTCAATCCAATTCAGTTTATTTCTATAGCACCTAATTCACAACACATGTCATCTCAAGGCACTTTACAGTTCAACCAGATCATCTAGTCAAATTGATTCAAAGTTTTCTATCTAAGGAAAACCAGTTGATTGTATCGACTCATTGACTCAAATACAATCCCTCACACTAAGCATGCATGTAGCGACAGTGGAGAGGAAAAACTCCCTTTTAACAGGAAGAAACCTCCAGCAAAACCAGGCTCAGTGTGAGCGTCCATCTGCTGAGGCTGACTGGGGTTCAAGGAGACAGAAGCAGAGATACAAAAAACAGCTGTAAAAGGCGGCCCCGTCCAGGAAACACACAGCCAGGCAGACGAGCTCCGAGCCAACTCCCATGTCAGAGGATGAATAGAGAACATCCAGCCAGTCACAGACAGAGAAACAGGACCACACTGAAAAACAGGCAGATCTCCAACATCTATAAACAAAGGTGTTGATGGCACAGCGAAACAGGAACAGACGAGGCAAAGCTACTGTGAGAAAAAGCAGAGAGAGCAGAACGTTAGAGATTGAACTAACAGATTCTGCAGAGTGGGAGAATAGAGATAGAATGAAGCAGAGTGATTAAAATAGGGGTCCCTACAGTATGTCCTCCAGAAGCCTAAGCCTATAGCAGCATAACTATTGAATGATACATTGAAAAATAAATAAAGCATTTACAACAACCTTTAAAAAGTCTTTACCCTTAAAAAAACACTTTTAGATTTTCAACTTCTTTTTATGTCAGTGCAGCTGATGGTGTATACACAATGTTACTGTTGTTTTGTTTCTGCACTCTTTCTCAGACAACTACATTTTGTCCAGATTATTTTGATGATGCAAGTTAGAATGACATAAAGATAAGTCTAAGCCTATGTTAATTTTATCTATCTATCTATATATATATATATATATATATATATATATATATATATATATATATATATATATATATATATATATATATATATATATATATATATATATATATATATATATATATATATATATATATATATATATATATATATATATATTTTAGTCTGCTTTAAAAAACAAATTGTAGAATTTTTTAAATTGTGGCACATTGAGACAAAAATAAACCAGAGTTTTCAAATATGGATCCAACGTTTTGATTTCACCATTTTCAAAAACCTTTTAAACCTATCAGTCTAGATTGGAGTAACAGTATGCAGCTATTATATCCCAAACAAACTGAACTTTCCTGTACTCAATAGAGAATAAATAACACAAAAAGAACCTTCTTTTGCTAAGGAAAGCAGTTCTTGTCAGTTATATTATACAATAACATCCAGAGTGTTTGCCCTCCATCAGCAGCAGGAAATAATGCTGCAGGGCTGACACTGGTGCTGCTCTAGCTTCGTTTAGACATCAGCTGGGGGAGTTTAGAGAGGAGGAGAAATATTTACTCAAGCCATATTTATCTACACAGCTAGTTGAGCACTTTGTGATAGATTGGTGTAATGGTGTGTGTGTTTTTTTGTTTTTTTTTAGTTTTTTTTTTTTAGAAAAAATCCTTAATAAACTACAGCTAACAGCAGTAATCCTAAAAAGGTCACCTTGGAATTTTTAAACACCAACATGAACTGTAATTATTCCAAGTTGCACATATAATGGTTTTGTAGTCTAAATAAAGGAAGTGAAGGTCTTGTACTGATGGGTCCTGTACTTCCTTAGTCACTCCAAGTTCCCATTCTCCAGAGGAGCAGAACCTAGATGACAATCTAAGGAACAAACTAGCCTTGACACACAGCTCTGCACTGCCTCCATAGACAAGCAGCAGAGCAGACCGAGGCATGAGTATGCTGCATGACTCTGTAGTCCTTCCCTCAGGCTATGTGAGTGTGCCAGCACCTCATCACAGTCTCCCTGGGTCACTGCGAGCCAAACACCAATCAGCATCCACGCTCAGGAGGCCAGGGCGCATGAATCATCCCTCAGAAAAGGTCTGCGTGCCTCAGCGTCAGGCTGGGGGAAGGACTGCCAGAGCTCCTGCTCTTTCTGGATTATTATGGGAATGTTTCATGAGCGAAACAGGGATTTTCTTTTTTTAGGAGGGGAGGGACGAGCCACACCTCGTCAATATTTACTCGGATTCTTGAGCCGAATCCAGTAAAAGCAGGGAGCAAGGACTGTTTCCTTTAGCGGAGAGTTCAATCTGTGCTTTTATTAAACACTTTAGAAACAGCAATGCAGTAGCAGCTAAATGTGCAGTATTATGATGTCACCATGGGCTTAAAGTGGAGAAAATAACGTTATTTAAAGTTGATTGTTAGAGGATGTGAGCATGATTGCTGGT